AACAAATGAGTTTTTCTCAGGCTGTGATGATGATTTGCTATGAGACTTTTAAACTTTGCTTTGGAGTCTTCAATTTTTCTGTGCAATGGGAACTGGAGTTCCAAAGGGACACTCTGCAAAGTCTGGTTAGAAGCTGTGAATGAAAGGACTAAGGGTGTCGTCAGTGAGTTGCAAAGACCAACAATCAGCTGGCCCAGTTGTTCACAAGATGTGTGGCAGCCCAGCTCTCCTGCAGACCAGGCACCTTTGCTATGCTGGGACAGTGGGCCTGGCCTTGTGCAAGACCTTTACTTCCCTCCCCTGACTGCTGAAATCAGGGCTGAGCAGGCAGGAGTCATCGGAATTCATGTTCTCAGTGACAGCTCAGACAAAGCTCAGGAGTTAGGCATAGGCTTTTGTTTTGAAAAAGGCAAATTAAAGTTTTTTCTCAACACCTCTACCTCAAGATTTCCTCTGTTACCATATATTTCCCAAAGCTTTTAGGATAGGCCAGGACATTTTGGCCCATCGTTGGATATCAGGATATAACGTGCGCTCAGCTTGATCTAAGTTTAGGGTGAAGAGACAATTGTGCTTTTTAAATATGAGGCACAGAATAAGCCTATCAGGACAGAGAGATAACACCACAAATGTTATTCTTCTGTTAGCAAAGTTCTGCATTTGCATAGTAAAATGATAAAGACACTGATGAACTTAACCACAGCTCAGCCAACCCACTGCAGCTCTTCACCCCGCTCACCCCTCAGGCTGGAGAGGGCAGAATGTCATTAGGATCCCATGCACTGGGGTCCACATCATCTCAGGAAGGATTTTCACTGGTGTTCATTCATTTGAGGCAGTTTCTTTGTCAAGGGCACTAAGGAAATGGCAGCAAGGGTGGCTGGACTGACATGGCCCATTTCCTCCCCTCAGCTGCCGGATGAGCGCGACTCAGTGTCTGAAACACGAGTGGCTGAACAACCTTCCTGCCAAGGCCAAGAAGTCCAAGCTGCGCCTGAAGTCCCAGTTGTTGCTGCAGAGTTACATGGCTCAGAGGAAATGGAAGGTGAGGGGACAAAGTCTGGCAAATCTGCTTCCAGAGGAAAGATCAGCTCAGCACAGGCAGAGCCATTCCCTCCTTTTGTGTGTCAGCTCACTTGTGCCCGCAGGCTTCTTTATTGTAAATATGAGTTGAGAAGTCTATTTTCATTTGTAAATTAAGTATTTTGTCCTGCAGAAGGGTATTGCTTCTATTTGTAGCACATTTAGTTTCAATTTTCACTATTTCTGATTGGTGTTTAGGAGTTTTACTTACTTTTTTTTTCCTGCAAGTTCAGAGGCCTCAGGTGCTACTTAGCTTATAACGAGAAAGAACATTTAATATACTTTTCCCACTGACAATAGTTGCATTCATCTATTGTCAGTATTGAGTAGAGTTACAACATAAGACAGTTTGTGCCTTCCAGAGTAGAAGTGTGGGAGAGAGAAAAAAAAATTAGGCTTAAACCCATCCAGAGAATTCTTCAGAATCTTTCTGATAACTCCAAGCTCCTTCTGAACTACATTTTTATGAAGAAGTGATAGGTAATAATCTGTGTTGGAGTCTCTATTAGATTGTAGATAATTGATCTAATGATTTTATTTATTTATTTATTTGTTTTTGATTATTTATTTCTTTATTAACTTATTTAATTGAAAGATGAACACAGTGATCTTGTTAGAAAGAAGCCTGTGGAAATGGGAGGCAAGCTCAGTGAGGACCATTTCCTTCTCTCTTTGTCACTGGGGAGTTGCAATTCCTTGCCAAGGAGTTAAACCAGAGGATTACACTTTTTCCAGTCCCACACTTCAGCTGTTTGGTGACAAACTTCTGCATTTGCATTTTAAAAAATACATAACCTAAAGACCTTTCACTGTACAATTCATAATAACACTGCAGACCTTCACAGTACCAACAGAAGCAGTGGTTCAGCACTGCAAAACACACAAGGTGTGGGTCACTAGAGGGAAATGGATTTACCAGGGAGAAAAATCCATGTCAGCTGCAGAGAAGGTCCTTGCACTCACACTTGGACTGTTCTGTTCTGTTCACAGAAACATTTTTATGTGGTGGCTGCTGCTAACAGGCTGAAGAGACTTCAGAGTATGTCTGTCAAGCTTGCATAAGGCTGTGTGAAGCATCCACCACTCCTGGAGATGGACACGAAGCCATGAAAGAAGGACTCAGTATCTTCAATAATTTCTACCCCTGTTTTATAACCTAAGGTTTTGGGACTGTCCTCCTCAATTATTTTGTGTGTTAGTGCTAAGGTGCCAGAAGTGCCCAAGGAAGAGGCACTGAAATAATGATTTCTAAAAGCAGAAGCTATTTTGTTTGTTTTTTCAAGTTTTGAGTTATTGTTAAGTAGTGGTGGAAAAACATGGCTGTCACTGGGGCTGACTTCTTGCTGAAGGCTTTGATTCTGCAGAGTGGTGTTTGTGTGTTTACACCTCAAAACCCCTGGTCAGTTTTCTGGTTTCTCACACCAAGCATGGGATCTCTGAAGACTTTCTTACTGAGTGATGTCTGTTATTTTTAGAGAATTGCTACAACAGTGGCACTTCTCTGTCAGGTGTTTGTTACTTAGAACAAAAGATAACTGATACCCTTTTCTTCTGCATTTCTTTCAGAAAGATTATTTTTCCCCCCCAACATGATAGGTTTGAGTGGGTTTGGTTTGTTGTTTTGTTGTTGTTGGGGTTTTTTTTAATCTACTCTCTCTTTTAGAAAAATAATCACTGCATAGTTAGGAACTATGAGGAATCCTGGTTTGAAGCAATTTAAGTTGGTCCATTGCTGCTGTTTCTTATGGCAAGTGGAATTGAGCTGAACTGATTGAACTTCTGGAAGGACATTTGAGAAACTGCCACAAATACAAATCATGGAATGACCACTGGGTCTGTGCAAGATCTCGTGCTGTACAGAAGAGATTTCCAGATACAGTTTTGTATATATTTAAAACTTTTAAGTGCTTCTCATTGGCTGTGACGGCAGCCCTTAAGTTTATAAGTTTTAGTTTGAGGATTTTTTCTCCTCTCTGAAAATTTTAATGAAGCCTGAGAAGCTGATATGGTGTGACATGCAAAATAGGTTTTATTTCTAATAGGTTCAGTGACAGGGATGTGTTGTCAGACTCTGCCTTTAGTCCAGTTAGGAGGTTGAAGCCCTTTTTTTCTCTGCACTTTGCTCTTGAACATTAAATGTTTTCTTCACAGTACTAACTTATTTTGGATTTTAAACTTTTTTCTTCTATGTATAGAGTGGGAGCCACTTAAAATCTCTCAGATAAAAGTATAACATTATTTATTAAACCTGTGGTTTCCTGTTGTAGATTCTGCAAAACTCAGTGTGAGCTGGATGGGTTCTTAGGAGAAATGGAAATTAATACTATTAAAACTATCTTTCCAGCAAAGGCATCTGTAAAGCTTCCTTGAACTTTATGGAATTTCACATCCCTTGAATTAGCAGAAGTAGTGTTTGTAAGAGGTTTGTAAGACTGGCTTATCCCAGTCTAGTTATCTTTTCCACTCAGCTGCTTCTCAGTTTGTACAGTCCCAACTTCTGCAGCATTTCCAGAACTGGGACAAGGAAGAATTATTAAACCCAAGTCAAACAATCTTGATAATTTATCACCTTCTATGAAGGTCCACTTTTGTTCATGTTTTCCTTCCACAGCAGTTCTGCATATCAAATGTGATTATATTCATTGGTCTGTATATTTCTGAATCAATACTAATAAATTTCATGAAAGTGGAACAAGCCTATATTCATCAGTTTTGGTTTAAACCCCACTGCCAAACCAACGTGAAAGCATCTCTTTGTAGGTTTTAAAAATGGAATGCTAATGGGTGGGATTCTCTCCTCATGTCGGACATTTTGTCACAGCTCTTACTCTTTGAGGGTAATTATCCTTTATTTTCTCTGCACGTCAAGAATTTGAGTCCATTCCCTAATCTCACCTGGAATGAAGTTAGCTCTTGCTAATTAAAGTTGGCTTCAAGCAATCTCTTTTTTTTTAATGCATTGGGAGAAGTGAAAGTGGCCAGGAAGTTTAAATTTCCCAATTAGTATGTGCTGCTTCTAAGAAGGTAACACAGAGATGCTCTCTGCTGTCTTGTACTTATTTCCTCTCTATTTTCTACAAAGAGAAGGTGCCTCTGGCCAGCAGGATGACTATTCTGTTTCTAACATAAAGGAAACCCTTTAGACTGGGCAGCCATCCCCTGGTTCTGCAGTACAATGGGACCCACCTCTGCAGCCTGAGGGGATGTTTTCACCCCATCCTGTGCATTTTGCTTTGGGATCTACAGAAAGCTTAAGGGATGAACCACAGGTGACCTGTGAGTCACTGGAACAGTACATGACAAAAAAACCCTGGCCCTACTGATATCTAATTAATGATACCAACTATTGTAATCCTGGTGTGATCACGTCTCATGTGAGCAGGGAGTGTGCACAGCAGGGAGACATTTGGCAGGGCATTAAAATACTTTTAAGAAGGTCAGGTGGGTGCAGTGTTTCAAATCTAAATGTTCAGACTTAAGATAATTTATCTTGCTTCACATGGACACTTGGGGCTTTTGGGTTTCTTTTGAAATGAGTGTTTATGAAAGTTAACTTCTCTTTGTACATCCCAGCCAGAAAACATGCAAGAGAAATGGAACGAAGACTTGGTTTGGTTTTGTTACAGTTACATCAGGCCTGCACTGCAAAAAGTAATGATTTTTCCTCAAAAAGTAGTTATAGCAAATTACAGTTTGAGTAGCTGGAATGACAGTGTAGCATCACAGGTGTTGCCTCCACAAACTACTCTCCCCTCTTCTTTAAGTTTATGACTGTGAGACACAAAAAAAACCCCTGTTACCCAGTCAAGATCCTTGTCCCCTGGATATCTTCCCTCTAAAAACACAGGCATCTCCTGTGAGTCTTTTACTTTGTGTTCTAAGTCATATGCCAAGAACATGATGTCATAATACAAAGCTTTTCCTTCCAGTACTTTTATTGTTTCTTGCAATATTTGGGACCCCTTACAAAAGCACAAGAGACTTCATTCCCATACACAGGAAAATACGTCAAATTCAGTTACTAAACAGTGTTTCTTCAACAGTAAAAAAATAAAAGCAATTAAAAAAAAATCTTAACTTATCTGCTGGCTTTGCAGTTTAACAAGGCACCATTAGTCCCTGCCCTCTTATTTCAGTGACTGCTTCCAGCCAGGGGCTCAAGGGCCTGTAACTTATAACTTATTTACACACTTAAGTGGCATTAGAATGTAGCATTAGAATGTTCCCTGCTTCTTGCAGCAAGAGAATGAAGCTATTTTACCCCCTTAATGCCAAAGCTGCTCAGGTACCAGCAAGGTGAGTAGTCAAGACAGGCTTCCTGTAAAATCACCTCAATCCTGGTGTCATTTTATTAAAAAAAACATTCTTCACTACTTAAAAACCAAATAAGGTAGCTGGCTACCAGGCAGCCATCACTCATGCTACTGGAACTACTATTAGAGCACAGGGAGAGATTAAGATCAAGAGCAAGCAGCAGTTGCATTAGTGGGTGGCATTACAGAGGCAGTACTATTTGTCTCTCGTGCCTTAGCAGCATTTTCCAGGATTTTCTTTTTCCATTCTTCATAGTCCTGCTTTGTTTCAGTCTTTGGCCGTTTATGTGGCTTCTCCTCATCATCTTCAGATCCTGTGAGGGAACAAGAAAGTCCATGACAGGCCATCATGGGCCACGTGTTGGTGGGAATAACTGTGGCAGTGAGCACATGCACAGACAGGCAGAGAGTCTGTCCCTGTGTTATCTAATCCCATGGTTTGCTGCTCCTCTCACCTGCTGGAACAGTCTCCTCTTCACCTTTGTGTCTGAACAGAACAGTTATCCTTAATTCTACCAGGACTACTCAGTATAAACTCCATTATCCTTCTGCCAGGTTCTCTCCATCCTTCCGTAGCCAATGGATGCAGGATGGAGTGAGCTGCTGTGAACCTGAGATTATGGCCTATCCCACAACTAAAATACTGACCAGCAATAAAGCTCAGGAATCACCTCTGGTGAGGTGATTTTCATTCCTAGCTGAGCACAACTTACCATCTTCCTGCTCACAGTGCTCCAGGCAGGTCTGCAGGCTTTCAGGTGCCTCTGCAGCCAGTGGAACATCTTCTTCTAAAAAAAATAAGTAAGTTGCTTTACTTCTGAGTGGTGTTTGGGGCCCCAAGGGTGGCCTACATGTAATTCCTGCCACCTTCCAAAAATAATGTCACCCAGTCAGAGCAGGTCCAGAGTGATGCTCAAGCTCTACATGCAGAGGTGCCAGCACACTTGAAGGGTTGCATGGACTGACTGAATGCTTCAATTAGCAGGTTGCTAATTAGCAGCAAACTGCTGCTGCATTTATATCCACAATGATCCACCATGTTCATTGCCCGAAATCTACCCTTCTAGATTACTCTGGCAGGATTACCAGTTATTTCTTCCCCTTCTATTCCATTTCCACAGTTTGTATTACAGATACCCACAACATGCACAGGGCTGTCCATGTGTACAGATACATGATCTTCCCTGCACTGGTACAGAAACTCCCAGCTGCCTTTAGCTGCTTTAGTGGTGGGGTAAGGTTTGGGTTTTTACAGGGCACTGTACTGTGGGAAGGTCTGTGCCTAGGAGAGAGCAGCAGCTTTTGGTTTAGGTTCAGGCAGAAAACTTCCACAAAACTTCAGGATATGAAGCACCAAGACAGGGTGAAGGGTTACTCTCAGTGGGAAAGTCAGAATGAAAGCCTGGGAAAGGAAAAAAGAAGAGAAGTAAGAAGCAGCAGAGATATAAGGACAGGAGGGTGTGGATCATATTTCAGTCTTTTTCCTTCAAAAAAAAGGAGTGGAGAGAACTGCAGGCTTAACCACAGGTAAGAATGGTTCCTCAGGTCTGCTCACTGTATGTGGAGAGATGGTGTCATGGAATGGCTGAGTTATTACCAGAAGAGCAAGGCTTCTGCTTGTTAATGCTGCAGTGGGGAAAGGAAAGCACAGAAGTGAGTCAGTCAGAGCACGATGTTTGTGTTAGTATGTGTCATGTTGCCATGTTAACGGGATGCAGAAAGCAAGAAGGAGGAATCCAAGATGGGTCAGGTAGTATGGGAGAAGCAGGGAAGAAACTGCAGCAGCAGACACTGTAAGGAGCACAGAAGAGAGGAAAATACTTATTTTTGGCCTTGCCATATGCTAAGCTATTGTGACTTCCCCAGAAACAATGACTGTGACTGGGAACTGGGCTGCAGGAAACATGTTGGAATGGATTGGGCAGATGTGGCTGAAAGAGGACAGCTAGAAGTGACCAGAATGAAATCATCAGTGGAAAAGGATGGGGAACTGTGAGGCCACGGGATGGGTGTGCTGTCTTACAGGGATAAAGGCAAAGACTTACTTCTGAGGTGCTGGCTTATCTTCTCCAGCTGATTGCACAGTCGGTCAAATATTGCTCTTTTCACTCCAGATGCAGCCACCATTTTAGTTTTGTCCACTTTTAGCTTCAAACACCTACAAGAGAAAGTTGTTACCTCTGTAGAAAGCAACACTCCAGCAACTATCACTTATGTGAGGTGATAATTGCTGTACCAATACTGCCTGTGAGAATGAGAAAGGCAGGCCTGAGTTTTTGTCCTACCTATCCTTGTCTCATTCAGAAATTTGCTTAAAAAACCAAACCCCTACAGTACTCAGTCAATACAGCTCAGGAATTGAAACTCAGGGTGAGTTCAAGTTACATAAGGAAATTGTATTAGGAAAAAGTATTTTTCAGATTTTCAGGGAACCAGGACAAAGTCCCACTACTGCAAAAAGCTGAATGAGACCCCTGTGTCAAAAGAACCTTTTTCAGGAGCTGTGCAGCTACACAGTTCCTGCACTGCTAAGACTGTTAGAAGGTTTAATGCTGAGGAAGATCTTTGCACACAAGCAAATTCTTGCCAAATGTTGGCTGAGTCACGCAGCTCTTCCTGATCTGGGCCTACAGCTACCAGAGCCATCTCCAAAGGCCAGAGCACCCTCAGGATGTGATGGTGTAGGCTCAGGGCTTTTCCTTCTTCAGAACGGCTGTTTCTTGGTGCTCAGCAGTGAGCTGGCGACCATTCTTACACCTTGAGCAGTATCTCACCAAAATCCATATAACTTTCTGCTTTGTGTAATGTAGGTTGGAGACTTCACTGCAAAGACCTGGTTTGCTACAGCTGTCCCTATTTTCAGGAGCAGGGTAGCAGCATATGCTAAGCAGGACCCCAGATGAAGCAGCTGCTTAGATTGTTCAGTGTGTCACCAGGCATTTCAGCCTGCAGAAGATCCCCCAGCTACACTCACCTGCATGCAGTGAATAGTGAAGCCGTTAAAAACAGTGGTTTTGAGAAATCAAGGTCCATCCTCTGTGCTTCAGAAAGGCTGGATTCATACCTAGAGAACAGCAAGGGATAACTGGACACTGCATTTGCCTCAAATGAAGCTGCTGAAATACATCTGTCACGTGGGACTCAGCAGTTGAATGGGTCTGTTGGACCACTTGGTCCTTTGCAACCCAGTCAAGCAGAAACAGCTGCTACTGGCTGAGAAGAGCAAAAGAGACCAGGAAAAAGAAGGAAATTGGGATGACCTCCTCTTTTTGAATTAAAGGTATTTTAAATTGGGGATCTGGATGAAGGCATGTCAGTAAAATCTGTTTCTTGTGCTCCCCATCCACACAGTACTTTTAGCTCTACACTACACCTGAAAATTACAATGAGATGCTTTGCATAAATCCATCCTACAAGAGAGGGCAGCATTATAGTTTCTTGGATGTTACACAGATGTGTATGTTACACAGATGGAGGCTTAAATATGGAAAATGACATAGTGAATGTGCAGCACTGAAGAATTTAACTTTTTATTGTCCACCTGTCCCCAGGCCTTTTTTTTCCAGTCTGTAAGAAGCATCAACAAGCATGCCCAGCCTTTATTCACTGACCTAGCAGCATTTAAATGTGCTATCAGGGTGACAGCACAGCAGAACAGAGCCCTTCAGGGACTGCTCTGGTTAAAGTAGATATTACGGAATAGAAAATTTTAGTTAACTCTCTTGAATCCATTGAAGTGTTCTACCTATTTGTTTTGCAGGTAATGTGCATTTTAAGAGATGTGTGTCTCCAGAAGGGAGGATTTCTCTCTACTGAGCATTACTTTTGAACTGTGCTGTGATCAGCAGTTAAATGGATGACACTCTGATGCTACAGACAAATATGGGGACTAAGAGTGCTGTATTTTTTACACTATTCCCAGCTGAAGAATTTAGAGTCAGACAATGACTTACTGAGATTCACAGACTAAGTCTTTCTTTCATGTATTCTATAATGTGGCCTGGATCATTGTCAGTGCTAAGAACTCACCTCACTGCTACAGTCAGCGGGGCATACCTGCCCCTTCCAAACATCAAGCTCTTTACACATCTAATGAAGAAAGAATCTTACTAGTGTTTAGCACGAGAGCTTCCTCACCTCTGAAGTATTTCTGCAGCCATGTTCACTGCCTCCGTGCAGCAAAATTGCACAGCCAAGTCTCGCATTCCCAGCCTGGGGTTCACCTCCAGCAAACACTCCAAGGACTTCATAGAGTTCTGGTAGGTGTTCTTGTTCAACCCGGAGAGTTTAACACAGTAGCTCTTCCAAGAAGACAAACCCCAAGAATTAGCAAGATTCCTTCCTGACATCTCAATCAGGCAATCAACACAACACCATAAAGTTCAATTGCTACATTAAACAAATTTGTGCAATGAATAATGCATATTTTGACTGCACACAGAAAGATTAACCACTTAGGAATGCCACAGTTTTTAACACAGTGATATCTTTAGACCATTTCACTGGAAATGAGGTTTGACATTTCCTTATAATGTGACATGTCCTTTTTATCACAAGATGGTTAAAAACAAGGATTAGCAAAATCTGGGCAACTTGAAGACATGAGCATCACCTTCCTGCTACTCCTCATGGGGTCAGGTCCAATCAAATTCTCCTCTGTCTGTAAACGGGCAATCATGAACATCTTGTGCCAGGCATTATTTTGGCAGGTTTGCAGGTGCAGGTTTATGGTACCTCTACAGAGAGGGATTCCTCGGAGCCCCTGCTTCCCTCTCACAGTAAAAGGGGCAGATCTTAAATTTAACATCCCTGCTAGTAATTTATTTGTTACTGAAAGAGCTGAAATTATACCAAAGCAAACTCAACTTGAGAAGTGACTATGACACTGATGTCAATTTGCCCTGTTTCAAACTCTGAACAGTGAAAGCTCTAACGCTGTGTCTAGCAGCACACTAGTAAGTCAATTATTATTTCCCTTTCCTGCTCCCAGCATACACTTCACAGAACAATGATTTCAGTGGACTAACACAGAATGCACTGACAGCCACCACATCTTACTTTGTCAATCGGTTGTTTCATGAAACTCGCCGCCAGGTCCAGGCACATCACAGCGCTGCTCGTCGCCGTCATTTGAGCCATTAACCCCGTGCACTTCACCTGGGACAGCCGCAGATACTCCTCAGCTTTCCTGCAAAACACAAAGCCTTCGTTAACAGGTACAAGACTAAGAATGTGCGGACGGGACCCGTTCCCAGGTTTCTCAGCCCAGCTCCCCGGCTGCAGCACACGCTCGGGGACCAGCTGGTGTGTTCTCTGGTGATGTGCAGCGGGATTGCACTGCAGGGTCAGCCACGTTTCACTGACCCCGCCTGCCTTGGGGTCCGCGGCTCCACCACACCCACAACCGGACAACGCTGTGCGGGGGTGCGGAGCCGGGGGTAGACGGCGCACAGCGTGTCCCTGATCCCCGCGGTGTGTGTCCCGCTGTCCCGCACCCCGCGGTGTGTGTCCCGGTGTCCCGGTCCCCGCGGTGTGTGTCCCGCCGCCCCGCACCCCGCGGTACCCGAGCAGGGCGGTCCCGCGCAGCCCCAGCCTGGCCGCCATGTCCCTCACAGCCCCGCGCTCCATGGCCCGCCGCGCGCTGCCCCGCGCGCGCCGCCCCGCGACTGGCCGGCCGGGCCGTCAATCACCGGCCCCTCCGGCCAATCGGCGCGCGGCGCGGCGCTCGCGGACGGCGGGCCAATGGGGAGGGAGCGGCGCGGCGACGGGGGCGGGGCGGCGCGCGGCGCAGTCACA